ATAAATCTGCTAAAAGCATTTGCTTCTGAAATCGCTTTCGGCGAATTTTCACACCGGCCGTCGAGTAGACTTTGTACAATCTAAAATAATTGATTTGATTGGCATATTAACGTTGTTTTGAACGCCCAAGCTTATTCAAAAAACTCACAAAACAGCTAGGCGTTTCCTGGAAATTTCGTGATTGGACGCTGGGTTGAGCACCGGAACTAGTTGTTTCGTCACTTTCCATCCTCCTATCTAAATTTCATTCATAAAAACCATTTAGCAAGCAAAGAGTAACAAAAGTAAAAAATTGCTCAAAAAAATTCTAACAACTACACGATAAAATCTAGCAACAAATTGGTCTATAACTAAAACACTAAAGAAATCGTGCTATTGTAATCCAAGAGATCCGGATTCACCGGCATATCCATCGCGTTTTTCTAAAATATCTTAATTTCCTTTATAGATTATGAAATGTTTTCCTGTTTTTTTTTATCATTTTTTCTTTCTTTGTTCACTGTTTCCTAATTCTTCCAAACACTACTCCATCCGTGGCTTCAACTATTGACAGCTCGCACATTACCGTTGATTTGCGGCTGCATCCCAGATTTCCTTCCATTAACCAACATCGACACTCTTCTCTTCAAATGGTCAATTATTTGTTTGGCGTGTTTCTTTGATTTCGTTACCAATCGACGACTGAAAAGGTTTTTTCGATTAAGGTTTTGGCTCGTAAAGAGTTGAACGATTTCTAGTTATTGAACGATTTCTAGAATTTTTTGGAGAGTGACAAAGCCACAAAATTTCACAGCTAAATTCACAGCCTCCATGAGACGCCTAAAAGGGATCTATCTCGCGCTTTCTGTGCAAAGAGAATCTCTGGTCACAAAATGAACCGAATGATTCACCGGCATACCAGTCGCGTTTAACTAAAGTGCGTAAAAAGGGTTACAAATGACTAAACTTGCGTTTTTATATCCGCTTGATCTTTAAGCTTCTAAACTACGACATCAAAAAAACTCAGGATTTCTGGATTCAGTTTCTGTACAATTTTGTCATTTGCTGATTCATTTGGCTGATCCTTCTTCTCAGCATCCTTGACACATCGCCAATCCAAGCCAAAAGTCGCGGTGATCGAGTCTGTCTTGCAATTACCGCAACTAAAAAAGTTGATGAATCAAAAATAAAAATTGTTTCCACGTGCTCTCTTTGATAACTCTTTGTAAATACCTTGCGAAGTGTGTATCATTAGCCTTTATGTGCTTGTGTTTACTCATTCACCTATACTGCTTCCTATCGAAATCTTTTCAGAAAGATGTTTTTTGTTGATTTCTCTCAATGAATTTGTGTCAATTCGGTATATTGTGGATTTATATTTGTCAAATTCACTTCAATTTTGTCAAAATTTTGGACCCTTCAATTTACCATTGTTAGAAAAGACGTTTGATAGAATGCTGGATGGATCTCAAAAATACAGGGCCTTAACAACAGTGAGGCAACGTTTGTTGTAAATTTTTGTTTGAAATGAGAAAAAAACTTTATTAATTAAAAATCAAGCTAAATCAAGCTTGAAAGCTAAATCTTTCAAATTGCACAGTTAATGCCAAAAGAAAAGTGCAGAAAAAAGAGTATGCGAAGTGATTTTCAGTAATAAAAGATTTTTATTTCATAGCTCTAAAAAGATCAACTCTAAAAATAGGTGAATCTCTTGTCTGACGTAAGAAAAAACAAAGAGCAAAGACCCCCTTCCACTCCTCGACCCCCTTCCCCTTCCACTTCCACAGAATTATCGCTCGTGGCATTTTCAAATACATTCATAGATTGACACTGTCTTTCCCTCAACTCATGCATGTCCCTTGAGATGAAGTCACTCTTTTTCTCTAGCCATTCCTTATTCATCCACCGATGCTCATTGAACTCGTCGAGTATCTCCTTTCGCCGATCTTCCTCATCGACTCTTGCAATCTCATCATTTTCTCTTCCCATGTACAAATATTGCTCGAATCGGGCACAGGCCTTCTTCGAGCAACTCTTCTTCGAGCCGCTTAGCGGGGAATCTCCGTCTTGCCAGCAAAGGCTCCACGCCAGCACCGAGAACCGTGAGAACACGAGAGGAAACGAAAAATCGGATCCTTCACGTCGAATGGAGTGATGGTCAGTGAAAAGGTCGCAAGTTGAGCGAGAGTTCAACTTGGCACTCCAGAGACTCCAGCCTCGGTGACGTTCCCTTTTTCGGGAAGATCTCTTGGATGGCTTTCTTGAAATGATTTAAAGAGCTAAAACAAAGCCACAGAGACTTCATTGTTATAATGCTGGATTGATGAGAGAAATCGAGAGAGATCCCTGAGGAGTGAACTCGAAGACCCTAGCGAAAGTAATATGTAGCGGGAGAATCGAGTGCTGCGATTCGTCGACCGGTAGACACTCGCAGTACTTGATCGATTTGAGCGGTTTGGGAGTGGGTTTTTTTGGGACACAGACGCCATTTTCCAATCTAAAAAGCCTTGCCCCTTCGACCTCGACGAATTGCTCTTTGAAGTTGTAGAAGATATAGATTCGATTGGCCAGAGAGTCACCGCCCCGGATCTGCACAAAAATGGTGTTCGATCGATACGAGGTAAGATGGATCTTCTGGATTCTCCGAAAAAGGTCACATTGAATGAGAAAACTTCTCAATCTCTTGTTCACTTTCATCAACGATATGCATAAAGTTATCGGCAGCTTCTCGACGATCATTTCTTTCAGTTGTGCCGGGAGAGAGTTGAGAGGAAGGCTTCGAGAGTTCCAATGACGTTTTGGATGAAAGGTTGAGCTTTTAAATCTGAAAACGCACAGCTTTTTTGTGAAGCCCAATTCCCTGACGATAAAAACTTTAACCCATTTGTCGACTTTAATCTAAAACGACTTGTAGCTGAACATCGCTAATTCGAATTGGCTGTTGCCGGGGGATGGGACGGATTCTTTTCATTGCAATCTTTTTTCAGTTTATACAATCTGGAGCCATCGGATGCTCACAAGGGACTTTATCAACGGTGGTTCTTCTCTTTGTGATAGCTATCGAAAACGATTGTTTGAGTCGGTGAAAATGGTGATCGGAAACACGAAGGTGATGAGTGATCAATGAAATTTTTACAGAAAAGTTTGGAAAGTTCAAGGATGTCTGTAACCGCAATTTTTGATTTCAGCCAGCAGAAGCCAGAGAAATAGCATTACAAAGGATTCTCGTTTAATTTGAGACTAAAACCCCAAATGGAATATTGGTATTTTCTGTTTTATCTTTATCTTTCTTTGAAGGCATCCGATACTCTGTCGAAGGGTCACTTTTGGCATGTCCTCTTGTTTCACTCAAGGAAAATTTCACTGCTACCCGTGCTTATGGGGAGATTAATCATGTTTATGGGCAAGGTTCACTTAGTCTAGCAGCCGCCTACAGATGCTTCCAACGTTTCGAGAAGGCGACTTTTCCCTAGAGGGAAGAGGCAAGGGGTGGGAGTGAGTGACTTCAATGAAACGGCTCTGCTGAGCTCCTGCGGATCGACAACAAACAACAAACAATGAGACTCAGAGTTTCTGCCGCCCTACTCTCCCACTACATACATGCGGAGTGATACATTCAGAGTTATGCGGAGTGATACATTCAAAGCTATGCGGAGTGATACATTCAAAGCTATGCGGAGTGATACATTCAAAGCTATGCGGAGTGATACATTCAAAGCTATGTGATACACGAGTGATGCGGAGTGATACACGTGGACACGCTTGAATATCGAGGCAATAGAGACCCCAGGCATTCCCTCTCTCAACCTTTGATCTATTAAACGGTCAAAGGAAAAAAACGTGTTTCGTCTATTTCGTTTCGGATTTAAAGTTTATATAAAAAGAAGTAATTTCTCAAAGGATAATGATTGAATAGGTTCAGAAATCAATGAAAAACTAAAATTTCATTTGAAAAGATCAAATGATTGTATTTACAAAAAAACAAACAAAATCTGGATCGAATGAAAACTGTGGAGAAGGTGCATTAAACGGAAGGAACATTGCACGGAAGTCTCTCGAATCGAATCTAAAGAAAGAACACCTTTCAACGATCATCAAGTTTTGGCGAAGAAGGCGTTAAAGAGGAAAATGCAACAGGTTTGTGGTTTTTGGAATATAGTGATAGTATTTCTATCAAATAGTAAACTATGGCTCTAAAAATTCCTTAAAAGATTATGAATACTTTTTAGGCCAAACAGAGCGCGGACGTTTGACTCTCGGCACCGGCACCAAAGAGAATTACAAAAAACGAGCCCTCGACAGTGGATTTCAAGCCGGTTGACTACTCAGCATTGGCTCAGCAAACGTTTGGTGAGTATTTTGAAGTTTTGTTGGGCTTTTCATCTAGGATGGTGAAAAAGCAACATATTTACTTTTAGGAACATGCGATTTTGATATGCCTTCGGACAATGACTATGAATGGACTCCATTCAACGGAGTCTCAATAGGAGGTGGTGGTGGAAAGAAGAGAGGTGAATGTAAAAATTCGAGAGGCAGTGGACGAGGTAGGGAAAGGATTTTCTAAACTTTAAACTTAAATTTGAAGAACTTTTAAATGTCAATCGGTCATCATTCACAAATCAATTCGGTAATGAAGTGCTCTTTTAGGAAGAGGTGGTCATGGTGGACAAAGAGGAAATCAACGTAGTGGTCAATCTAACCGACATGGGGGTGGAAACAGAGGAGTATTAATAGTAATATTCGTAGTCGTATCACTGAAAGCAAGCCACAGGTCAACAGTCAAAGTTCAATTATTTATCCTTGCCTAGAATATCTTTATTGCTTAAATTACGATTTATGTTGTTTTTTTGTTTTTCTGAAGTAACTCTTTCTTGTATCCATTAGAAGTACGAGTCGAGTAACTCGCCTAATCAGGCTTTTCGAGAAATTCTCCATACCAATTTTATGCCATTTTCAGATCTGGCTAAGGCGGCAAAATAGCAGGTGAACGTGAATCAGACCAATTTTTGATGGTCCATCTCTCCATTTCATTCCACCTTGTTGATTTCCCGCTTCCGAGTCAACTTCTACCACCGTCGGCCATGGCCATATACTCTTGACTGACTCTTGATTCTCTTTTTAAATAAGTCGTACTAGGCAACTCAACCCGGAGCTTGACCCGAAGCCCAAAGGAAAATATTCTCTTACTCTAGTCTCTTTTGCCCTCCATTTTTACTGCACTTTTCTCCAACTGATTACACCTGGCCTCTCCTTTGAGATCTCTCCTCCTCACCTCCGATTTTCGACGCTTTATTGCTCTCGTATGGCCTCGATCTTATCTTTTTGCTCTTGGTCTTTCAGCGATTGCATCCAACTTCTTTCCCGACAACTTTTCTCCTTTCCAATGGATTTTTCAGTTTATATTGTTTTTCTTGAGGATTCCATCGTCGGAGCCGAGACTACCAGATTTTATTCTTCAACTTCCTCGATCCTTTATTTTCTTTTGATTTCATAACTTCAGAAATTCCCTCAATTTGCAAATATTTTCTGTCTGTCTATTTTCGGATCTCTCGCCGTCAAATCGATCCGCCGTGGAGGGGTGGGGTGAGAGGAGGCAGGCACGGGTTGAGCCCGGAGGAGATGGAAACAGGGGAAAACTGATAGTTAATGACAACCCCTTCTGAATTCAGCCGCTTTCTAAAAGGGGCAGGGATCATCCCTTTTGCTCTCTTTCTACTCTCTAGCATTTCTCTAGCTTCTTTTGCCCTCCATTTTTACTGCACTTTTCTCCAACTGATTACACCTGGCCTCTCCTTTGAGATCTCTCCTCCTCACCTCCGATTTTCGACGCTTTATTGCTCTCGTATGGCCTCGATCTTATCTTTTTGCTCTTGGTCTTTCAGCGATTGCATCCAACTTCTTTCCCGACAACTTTTCTCCTTTCCAATGGATTTTTCAGTTTATATTGTTTTTCTTGAGGATTCCATCGTCGGAGCCGAGACTACCAGATTTTATTCTTCAACTTCCTCGATCCTTTATTTTCTTTTGATTTCATAACTTCAGAAATTCCCTCAATTTGCAAATATTTTCTGTCTGTCTATTTTCGGATCTCTCGCCGTCAAATCGATCCGCCGTGGAGGGGTGGGGTGAGAGGAGGCAGGCACGGGTTGAGCCCCGGAGGAGATGAAACAGGGGAAAACTGATAGTTAATGACAACCCCTTCTGAATTCAGCCGCTTTCTAAAAGGGGCAGGGATCATCCCTTTTGCTCTCTTTCTACTCTCTAGCATTTCTCTAGCTTCTTTTGCCCTCCATTTTTACTGCACTTTTCTCCAACTGATTACACCTGGCCTCTCCTTTGAGATCTCTCCTCCTCACCTCCGATTTTCGACGCTTTATTGCTCTCGTATGGCCTCGATCTTATCTTTTTGCTCTTGGTCTTTCAGCGATTGCATCCAACTTCTTTCCCGACAACTTTTCTCCTTTCCAATGGATTTTTCAGTTTATATTGTTTTTCTTGAGGATTCCATCGTCGGAGCCGAGACTACCAGATTTTATTCTTCAACTTCCTCGATCCTTTATTTTCTTTTGATTTCATAACTTCAGAAATTCCCTCAATTTGCAAATATTTTCTGTCTGTCTATTTTCGGATCTCTCGCCGTCAAATCGATCCGCCGTGGAGGGGTGGGGTGAGAGGAGGCAGGCACGGGTTGAGCCCCGGAGGAGATGAAACAGGGGAAAACTGTTAGTTAATGACAACCCCTTCTGAATTCAGCCGCTTTCTAGAAGGGGCAGGGATCATCCATCCTTTTTGCTCTCTTTCTACTCTCTAGCATTTCTCTAGCTTCTTTTGCCCTCCATTTTTACTGCACTTTTCTCCAACTGATTACACCTGGCCTCTCCTTTGAGATCTCTCCTCCTCACCTCCGATTTTCGACGCTTTATTGCTCTTCGTCTTTCAGCGATTGCATCCAACTTTTTTCTCGACAACTTTTCTCCTTTCCCTTTCTTTCGCCCATTTTTACTAAATTAAAAAATTATTGAATTATCTTTTTTCAGAAAAAATCTATAAAAACCTTTCTTTTACTTTTTTAACTTTAATTAGATCATTCCATCCTTTTTTAAATCCAATTTTCTTCCATTCAAATTTACTTAAAAATCCTTTATAGTTCGAAGTTTAGAGAGTTTAAGGGATCAGATTCATAGAGATAAGGAAGGAAATTTAGAGAGATAATGAACCAAATTTAGAGAGTCATCCATTCTTAATGTAAATGCATAAATTTTTCGATTCTTTTATTTGTTTAGTTGACTTTCAGGAAAAGTACACCTGAAAAGTACCCATTAGCTAGTGCTTCCAGAATGAAACTTTGCTTCAAGATTCAACTAGTATTGACTAGTTTCTTCGGTGATCTCAAAATCGGGTTACTCAACCAAAGAAGAATGAAGAAAAGTACCCCGAAAAACGCATCTATTAACTAGTGTGCATTCCAGATGCAAATTTGATTTAGGAATATCGCAACATTCAACTAAATACGAGTTTCTTTGATGCCTCAAAAATTGGCTATTTGGGTAACAAAGCACAAAGTCCACGTGAAAGCATGCAATTTTCACGTAGTTTTCCATCAAAATAACAATTGTTCTTTGATTTCTCAGAATTTATTCCATTCATCTCAAATTTATCCCCTGTTTTTCTCATTTTTCTCATTTTTTTATGTGGAAATCTCCGTTTTTCGCTTTTTAAAAAAATGAGTAATTCTAAAGTTTCATTGATCAAAAATGAAAGAAACAGAAGAAATTGCAGTTTTTATGGCCTGGCTTTGGCTTGGCTTGGATTTGGCTTGGATTTGGAGATTTGGAAAATCAATTTGTCCTTTTGATTAGCTGAATATCTTTTACATATGGTTCTTTTATGGCTTGGAAGACAAAAGATTAACGCCTGACCTCGAACCCGCGACCTCTCGCTTATCTTACCGTTTACCAGACAGACGCTCTACCAATGAGCTAGACTGACAAGTGGCCTTGTCGGGTCGGTAGGCTTGTTATGTCTTATCCCCTCCCCCTCTTGCGGGGGGTAGTAAAGCATAAGATCCCATCCTGGTGGCGAGGCGAAGCTTATCTGTGTAGCTCATTGGTAGAGCGTTCGCCTGGTGAGCGAGAGGTCCTTCGAGAGGTCGAACCCCGGCACCGACTATTTTTTGTATTCCTAGCCTCAACCCAACTTTTCTTGACAAGGCTTTTCAATGAAATTCTTTAGGACAAAATTTGTCTTGGATATTTTAGAATTTTCTAAAGATCGTTTTTGCGCCAAAGGTTTTATAAGGGTTTAATTAGATAAGCTTATTCTGAATATCTCTTTAGTTTTTCTTTATTTTTTTATTCCAGGTGCTCTCCTCGGCCTTTCACAGTCTGTGTTGGGTCCTTCACATCAAGCTCAGCAACAAACAACACAAGAGCAACATTATCATCAACAAACACATCAATCACAACAACATCAACCAGGTGAACTGAAAACCTGGAGACTTTTATGGTTGCTCGTTTCCTGACCAGTCAATCTTGATCCAAGGCCGGTCAGAATTGATGAAGCCAGCTTCTAACAGCTGTAAATCAACTTCTCACAACTTAAGTCAACTTCTAACAGCTTTAAGTCAAAGCCTAACATCACTCTAACTCTAGCTTAGAGTTTGGCTTAGGTCTTAGCTTAGGCTATTTTTAAGTCAGACTAGACAAGGATCAAGATGGCCAAAGAGTAGAACCAAAGCCGGACTTGGTTGACTATGCTTAATCTGGCTGAACAAAAGCGAATCAAGAGCTAGGTTTGAAGCTAGGAACTAGAAATCTTTTTCTAGTCGTTTTCTGGGTTCAATCCTAGGTTTTAACTGCTAAAAATTCACTAAGTGAAGGGAAGGAAGTGAAGGGAAGGAAGTGAGGGGAAGGAAACGAGCTCGAACTCTCGAGCTTTTCCTTTGAATCTTTCTGACAATGGACTGTCAGAAATAATAAAGAAGTGAAGGACTTGGGAAAATTGGGTTTCTGGAGAGGGAGCCTTTTAGCCTCGACTTTTCAAACAATTCCATTCCTATTCAGTACCCTAACTTATCAAGAGCAAAAGGGGAAAGAAGAACGAAGATAATTAATAAGGTCTTAGGCCATCCAACCGCTCACCAACCAACGACGAGTCAAGCGGCAGCGATGCTTTCACAACAATTGATGCAACTACATCCAGCAGCTTTATCTGGTGTCTTAGAATTGTTTAAATGAAGTTCTTTAAATCCTTTTTGTTATCAATTCCTTAAATTCATCGATTTTTGAGGCTTTCCTTGAAATTTGAGATGTTTAATCTGAGAAATGAGTTCAATCGATTATCTAACGAATTTTTTTCTTGATCAGTTACAGCACTGAAAATTTCAGATTATATTATCTGGAAATCACGAAAGATTTCGAGATTAAAAGATTTGAGAAAATAAATTCAAAAAATTTTCAGGCTTGAGCGCTGCGCAACTCGCCGCCATGCATCAGCACAAAGCTCTGCAGGCACAAGCTCAGGCAAAAGAACAGGCTCAGGTAGAAGACTTAGCTGAGATTAGCATTGATTTTTTAGCGATTAGGTAATAAATTGGTTGGGAAATAAAGATTCCTTTAGCGTCTCTTATCCCCTCTCAAACCCTTAAAATCATCAGATTATTGGTTTATTAATATTTCTAGTCATCTAGGGATTATATTTTGATTCTACGGTACTGTATAATCTAGTCTTTTTTTTATTAAGCTTACTGTAATTTCTAAGCTTCCACTACTTTCTAAGCTTCCACTACTTTCTAAGCTTCCACTACTTTCTAAGCTTCCTCTACTTTCTAAGCTTCCTGTACTCTCTAAGCTTCCTGTACCTTCTAAGCTTCCCCCTAAAGCTTCCTCTACTTTCTCAGCTTCCTGTACCTTCGAAGATTCCCTTCTAAGCTTCCTCTACTTTCGAGGCTTCCTGTCCTTTCTAAGCATACTGTACTTTCTCGGCTTCCTCTACTTTCTAAGTTCCTGTACTTTCTAAGCATACTGTACTTTCTCGGCTTCCTCTACTTTCTAAGTTCCTGTACCTTCTAAGCTTCCTCTACTTTCTCAGCTTCCTGTACCTTCGAAGATTCCCTTCTAAGCTTCCTCTACTTTCGAGGCTTCCTGTCCTTTCTAAGCATACTGTACTTTCTCGGCTTCCTCTACTTTCTAAGTTCCTGTCCTTTCTAAGCATACTGTACTTTCTCGGCTTCCTCTACTTTCTAAGTTCCTGTACTTTCTAAGCATACTGTACTTTCTAAGCTTCCTGGACCTTCGTTTAAAAAAATTAATTTTTTAGAGACTCCTTTCTCTAAATTAAATTATTAATTAAAGAATCAAAAAATGAAATAAAAGAAAGTTAATACTTTTTTCCGATCCTCTCCTTTTTCAGGCTCAAGCTCAAGCCGTGGCCGCTCAACAAGCAGGACTTGCAGCTGCCGCCGCCGCACATGCACAGGTGCAAACTTTAGAGATTAATATTCCAAAAAAACTTAACAGCTTTTTCATAGCTTATCTTAACGTCAGAATATTGATTTTAAATTATTAAATTAAAGAATATTGATTTCTAAAAAAATTTGACTCTTTTCAGTCATTTTCTTCACTTTCCCAAATCAAAGATCACCCAGACTGGGGGAAATTTGCTTTTTTCCTTTCTTCCCCCAACTCAAATCAAATCGAAACTAAGTCACTGTACTTTCTAAGCTTCTAAGCACTAGTTACGTCTAAACGCCTCATTTTAAACGCCCTTTTTCCAATTTTCATTGCGAATTCTTTCCAACAAAAATCCCAAAAAATTAAATGCAAATTTGCGATTTTCGACAGATTTTTGATATTAAATGCAAATTTTCGATTTTCAGACGAAAAATAAAAATTAAATGCAAATTTCCAGTTTTTTCGAAAATTCGAAAAATCAAATGCAAATTTCCAATTTCCGACAGATTTTGATATTAAATGCAAATTTTCCAAATGACAGTTGGGAAATTCGTTGTACTTTTCCCCATTTCACCGATTTCTCTTTTTTGAGCTGATGAGGTCCCAAATCCGCGCAGATTTTTGCGCATTAAAAAAACCAAGTTTTGTTGGGCATCATGTCGATTTTCGAAAAAATATTTGTATTTATCATTGAATCTATTTTCTTCATTTTGCGTCGATTTTTTCAGCCTCAAATGTCTCAAATGTCTTTTGCGCAACACTTGGTCACCGCACAACAACATCCATACCATGAGACAGTCGTTTCAGTGGCGCCGTCGAGCAGCCAGGTATTTTCGGGGTACTTTCGTTATTCTTTGGTGATTTTTAGCTATTCTTTGGTAAAACCCCTTTCTTTTACGAGTTTTTTGATGATTTGATGACGATGGCGATGTGCTTTAGCAAATTTAAGCAATTAAGCCAACTCCAGAGGCAGTTTAAGCAACTAAAGCCAACTCCAGAGCTAGTTTAAGCAATTAAGCCAACTCCAGAGCTAGTTTAAGCAATTAAAGCCAACTCTAGAGGCAGTTTAAGCAACTAAAGCCAACTCCAGAGCTAGTTTAAGCAACTCTAAACTCCTAGTTTCTGTAAACTTTCGTATAAGCTTCTGCTACCGCACTGGTGTCGATTTTTAGCTATTTTACGAGTCAAACCCATGTTAAGTTAACAACATTCCTTAGTTTAACTATTTTGAACAACTGATCACACTTTAAACGGCCATAACTTTCTCTAGGACAATATTATGCTTAACTATTAATATCTTTGGATAAAGGACATTTCAGGCTTGATACTAAATTGAGTGATAAGCCAGGCGAGGAAATCAAAGCCAACTCAAAAAACTGTAGCCCAAAAAAACCCAAAACTTGCATGATCCAAATCTTGTGATTGAAAAGCGTTTGATAAAAAGATTCCAGATTCGGAATCAGAATGAAGCGCTTTTCGAAGAGCGCTTTTCGTTGCAGCAAGCCCCCGCCATTAAAAGCTTTTAAAGAGTTTTTTTGGCTCGGCTTGCGTTTCTAGACTACCGTAATCCATACCCAAGCTACATCCAGCTAACTAGACTAATGCTCACGTGCTTGCGAGGAGCGTGCGATGCAAAGGTGGACTTTTCCTTCGATGTGTAGCGTTTTTAAAGAAAAAGATTGATTTGTTTGGTTGGAACTTTTGACGGTTTTGCACCAAACGTTAAGCCAAGAACATTTGCATTATTAATGTCGTGCGAAATGGGAAATTTTTTCATCTATCACAAACAAAAAACAAACACAATCACAAAATAGCTTGCTTGCTTCATTCATTTGCTAAAATTTCTTTTTTTCTCTTTTATGGTTTTCAATCACTCTTCTCACTTTTAAAACCTCTGAAAATCCGGGGATTCTCAGAATTGACTAAATGGGAAATAGCTAAAAACAAGGACTTGAAAGGAAAGAGACGAATCAGAGTTATTTTCATTCTTTCACTGTTTTGCAGAAATGGAAACCTTTTATAATAGTGTTACTGACTGGACTAAATGGAAAATAGCGATCTAGGCAAAGGCTAGAATCTAGATCTTTACCTTATTTCTCGACAAAATTAATCCTGAGCTTCTGATCGAAATTTGGCTGCCTATAAATCTGTTTGAAATCTGCCAAAACTAGACAAGCACTTCTAGAAGTGAGATAAACTTTCCTGGTAAATAGCCACCTTGGTAAGAGTCTTCCAAAAAGCGATTAAATCTAGAAGGTTCGCGAGATTTCGAAGAATGTATGGCTTTGGCTGCAGAAGAGAGAGAATACAGTAGAATGTAGAGTATTCTACCCCAGCCTTGTTCGCGTGAACATCAAGAGATCACAAGATCACTTTAACAACCAACTAGTTAGTTTGAACAGCTGGCTGGTTTTACCATCACGGTTTACTATCACGAGACTTAGATGATGCATTGTTTTGGGCTGTCTTCAGTCTTGGTGTAGTGGTGAGTGCACGCGTCTGATGGGCGTATGCACCTCGAGAGTTCGAGTCCTATACCCTATAAGGCAATATAAATAGATGCAAAGCTCTTAGCCAGCGCTGAGAACCGTCAACAAACTGTCATCATCCTTTATTCAGACCGGTGATCACCCCTATCTCACCTGGCCAATTCAACAGCCAGCCATCAATATGCCATTCTTCGATATGCACGCGTATAAACACGTCAACCTCGACGTATCACCATCCGAAAATTCACAAGGACAAGATTTACCGCTCAACGACGTCTCCACACTCAGGTAGTTGAGATTTAAAGTACAAATTTGACTTTGAAAGAATTAGAACTAGGTCAAAAAGGATCCAGTATCTAGTAATAGTCTTTTTGGGCTTTTTCGAGTGACTCGCTCTCTTTTTTTAATTGTGCAATCGTAGATTTGATGATTCTGGACGAAGAAACGTCTAATAAAGTTTTGAAAGATACAGATGAAAGCTGAAAAACTGGTTTTCGATGAGTTCTAGATTTAATGATTCTGGATTCCTCTAAATATTGGCTTTTATATGACAGTTACAAGATAAGATACAAGACTAAGATAAACGTTACAAGAAAGGTTTAAAAGTTTAAAATTACTTAGTATAGTTTAGAGTAAGAAAACCAGACAAAGAGAGCTGAGAGAGGTGAGTGACAACAGAGAGACAACAGACAGACTGCTGATAGCTGACAGACAGCTGAGGGAGAGCTGAGAGAGCTGAGTGATAAACAGACAGACAACAGACAAACAGCTGCAGCTGACAGACACAACTATACTTTCGTTCACTCAAACTATAACAAATCTATCTAAAACTAAAATCTGTTCCCAGATTCTTCTTCAACTTGGGCATTCAACAATCTCGCGTCGTTTTGTTGAATCAACATTTAAATCAACATCTTTCATCAACATCGCAAGGATCGAATTTTGGTTGGTCGTTAGCCGTTTTGTTGTGTCGTTAGCCTAATGTTCCAAAACCGGGAAGTCTAGAAGCCCTTTTACTTCAACAAGCTCTAGCTGCTGCTCAGAATAGTAAGTCTAAAAGAAAATTTGAATCTCTACTTGTTATTGCAAGTAATACAATAGTCCACAAAAGTAATGCCATTCAAAAGTAATTAAAAAATTCTTTTTTGCAAAATAGCTAAATAGCTTATTCTGAATATCTCTTTAGTTTTTTCTTTATTTTTTTATTCCAGGTGCTCTCCTCGGCCTTTCACAGTCTGTGTTGGGTCCTTCACATCAAGCTCAGCAACAAACAACACAAGAGCAACATTATCATCAACAAACACATCAATCACAACAACATCAACCAGGTGAACTGAAAACCTGGAGACTTTTTATGGTTGCTCGTTTCCTGACCAGTCAATCTTGATCCAAGGCCGGTCAGAATTGATGAAGCCAGCTTCTAACAGCTGTAAATCAACTTCTCACAACTTTAAGTCAACTTCTAACAGCTTTAAGTCAAAGCCTAACATCACTCTAACTCTAGCTTAGAGTTTGGCTTAGGTCTTAGCTTAGGCTATTTTTAAGTCAGACTAGACAAGGATCAAGATGGCCAAAGAGTAGAACCAAAGCCGGACTTGGTTGACTATGCTTAATCTGGCTGAACAAAAGCGAATCAAGAGCTAGGTTTGAAGCTAGGAACTAGAAATCTTTTTCTAGTCGTTTTCTGGGTTCAATCCTAGGTTTTAACTGCTAAAAATTCACTAAGTGAAGGGAAGGAAGTGAAGGGAAGGAAGTGAGGGGAAGGAAACGAGCTCGAACTCTCGAGCTTTTCCTTTGAATCTTTCTGACAATGGACTGTCAGAAATAATAAAGAAGTGAAGGACTTGGGAAAATTGGGTTTCTGGAGAGGGAGCCTTTTAGCCTCGACTTTTCAAACAATTCCATTCCTATTCAGTACCCTAACTTATCAAGAGCAAAAGGGGAAAGAAGAACGAAGATAATTAATAAGGTCTTAGGCCATCCAACCGCTCACCAACCAACGACGAGTCAAGCGGCAGCGATGCTTTCACAACAATTGATGCAACTACATCCAGCAGCTTTATCTGGTGTCTTAGAATTGTTTAAATGAAGTTCTTTAAATCCTTTTTGTTATCAATTCCTTAAATTCATCGATTTTTGAGGCTTTCCTTGAAATTTGAGATGTTTAATCTGAGAAATGAGTTCAATCGATTATCTAACGAATTTTTTTCTTGATCAGTTACAGCACTGAAAATTTCAGATTATATTATCTGGAAATCACGAAAGATTTCGAGATTAAAAGATTTGAGAAAATAAATTCAAAAAAATTTTCAGGCTTGAGCGCTGCGCAACTCGCCGCCATGCATCAGCACAAAGCTCTGCAGGCAGGCCGTTCTCGGAAAAGAGATTTGCCAAAAGTTGACGATAGATTACACAAAAAGAACGGCACTCGTGTAAAGTAAGTTCTAGAAAAACATGAGTTTGCTTTGAAAATCGAAAAATGAATAAAAAAACGAAAAAGACACCCAATGTAATTAAAGGAAAAGGAGAGAGCGGACACCGGAGGAAGATCCAGAGAGCTCAGCAGAGCCTGACACGGTCGACATCGAGTCAATGGAAGAGTTTGTATGCAAATGGGCAACATGCGGGAAAGAGTTCACAACCAAACAGGTGAGTGTGTATAGTTATTATTCCCAAAAATCGTCCCAATTCAGCCCTTCTATGATCATGTTGAAACGATTCATGTCAATCCAAGTATTGAGCACATTTGTGAGTGGGAAGATTGTGAGAGGTAAGTGCTCAAATATTAGGTGAATAAGCCTTTCCTTCCTTTTTATCTTTCCTTTTCAACAACCTATTAACTCTAAAAGTTTCAAGTGGCCTTTAGAAAAAAGAAGCCCTTCGAAGCTAACCACATGTTGGTGGTTCACGCAAGAGGCCACACTGGAGAGAAACCACACAAATGTGAAGTTGCTGGATGTTCCAAGGAATACAGTCGCCCCGAGGGTCTTAAAAATCACGAACTATTTCACACCGGCAAAAAAGCCATACAAGTGTACCGAATGTGGACAGGTATACAATACACTCCAATCCAAGCCGATCCATTGTTTCAGGCGTTCAGCAATTCTAGTGATCGAGCCAAACACCAAAACCGAACCCATTCAGATGAGGTGAGCTAATAAAAGAAGAATTTAACAAAGCACCACAATTTAGAAGCCTTACCTTTGCGATTATCAAGGATGTCCGAAGGCTTACACCGATCCATCAAGCCTTGGTACACACATTAAAAGTACGCACGGTGATGATGTGTTTAAAACGTTGAGGCAGAGAAACCTAGACGAATATGGTGGACGATGGCCAAAAACGGTTTAGAAAAAGTTCAGATCTTATTTTAACAAATATTACGATTAAGAGCAAGAAGGCGAATTGTGTCTCCACAGAAAGTAACAGCAGCCCTGACTCGGCAGGGCTGCTGTTATCGATAAACTGATTCGATAAACTTGGTGCAAATTAGCGAGTCGCAAATTGATATTATCCAACGCGAGATGGATGAGGAAAATGCAAGTCATCGTGAAGAGGAGGGGAAAAGAACAGAAGGGACAAAAAGTTTGGCTGAACCAATAAAGGTTCTGTTAAGCTAATAGTTCTTAGATTGTTTTCAGGGCAAAAAAGCTGGAAGAGCAAAAGGGAAAAAACGGAAGGGGTCTACGACCCTCGCGCCGTTTCACCATCCAACCATGACGATGAAATATTTGATCCACGAGCAGTCAAAAATGTGAGTTGGTTTTAGTTAGCTATTAATTAGATCAATTCTAGCAAAGAAAGAATCCACCTTCTCTACCATCATGTTTACTCGATCGAGGCATCAAGGTATGAAGCGGGTAGTTTATTGGCTTATTAACAATGTTTAGACCGAGAAAATTATGAAACTCATGAATCCTTGGGTATGGATACGGTAGCTTGGGTATGGATTACGGTAGTCTAGATATTACGGTAGCTTGGGTATATTGGTGGTATATAAATTGGTGAGAAGGGGAAAAAGCTTTTCCCCTTTGTTTGTTTCTTTTGATTTGAATCCGTTTTCCAAAAGGCATTCGTAATCCGCTAGTGATTTTTTTTCAATGCCCTACCTTTCACCAACTCTCACCAACACCAACTCTCACCAATTTGCACAAACAAGGATTTTCGCTTTATTAGTAGCCTTTCAATTGTCGACAACTTGTAAAAAAATTGAAACTTGATTCTAGCAAAGGTTGAAATAATTGGCCTAAAAGTATTGTAAAGTTGAAATCCCTCGTCTCACTAAAGTATTCAGAAATGTTATTGTTGCTTCCTGATTGTTTCCAACTCTTTTTTCCCAACTTTGCTTATCATATTTGTTTTGATTTGGGAAACCCTTAAGCTACTTGTAAGGAGTAAAAAAAAAACTCAGGATTTCTGGATTCAGTTTCTGTACAATTTTGTCATTTGGCTGATTCATTTCTTTTGGTTTTTCTGTTTGGTAATCTCAAAATCTTGCCCAACAATTGTGAAAAGAAACGTGTGCTTCTTAATGGTGGTGAAATTTTATTGCTTCATATATATTATTACAATTTTCCTGACAATTTACAATTACAATTATTATACAAAAGTAAAAGAGAATCTAAAAAGATAACCAACTCTCGATAAAAGATAAAAGATACCGTTTTTCTTCCGGGTAAAGAGTAGGAAAAAAGAAATAAAAATCAGCCAGTTTCCCAAATCGATGTTACAACCTTGTAACCATACCTATGCCGTGCCCTATACATGATGGGTGAAACAGTCTTTTAAAAAGTTAAAATTTTATAGATAAAAGTAGATCCAAAGGCAGTCAATCAACCAATTCTTTGGTATAAGACTTGAAGGTTTTTGTGGCTAATGTGAACGTTTTCTATTCGGCGCCGTTTTAAATACATCCCGAATTGCTTTTCAGGCCTTTATGGTCTCAGTTTCAACTTGAGGAGGCGGCGATCCTCTGCTAATTGTCAAAACTTGTAAAAAAAATGGCAAGATCGTTGGGAAATGAGGTAAACATTACAGGACACAGTTTTGGTGCTTAAATGAAAAATGTCTCACGGTTAACCTTCAAATCACATGAAGCTTCTAGGTTGCCAGCAGTGCCAACGAAGATGAATGAGATGTATTTGCGGGGAACATTCTATTGTTTTTATATCCGCTTGATCTTTAAGCTTCTAAACTACGACATCAAAAAACTCAGGATTTCTGGATTCAGTTTCTGTACAATTTTGTCATTTGGCTGATTCATTTCTTTTGGTTTTTCTGTTTGGTAATCTCAAAATCTTGCCCAACAATTGTGAAAAGAAACGTGTGCTTCTTAATGGTGGTGAAATTTTATTGCTTCATATATATTATTACAATTTTCCAATAAAAAGTTTTTCTGACAAAATTCATTCCTAGTTGTATCTTTTCATTTCATTTTATGTTTGTCTGTACCTTTTTTGATGAGCGCTTGATAATTTCTATGGATTAGAAACATTAATAGCGCTTGACATTTTGATAAAATTTAAATAAAAATTCTTTTAAAAACTGCACCAAAAAACGGCAAGTACATCATAGCTAATTCCTCAAAGTTCACTGGCAATTACAATGAGAGGCATTGATGAGATCAAAGCGTTCACAAAATCTAAATATTCAATGAGAGTCATGAATTTCGAATTAGTAATAGGGTCAAAGCTACAGCTACATCCACAAGAAATTGGTTCAACAGGTGTTTGCTTTGCTTTGAAAGGCATAATTCTCCCATTTTGCATCAAACATTCCAATTTCAGCAGGAAACCGGTAATTTCGCAGTTTTGAATCGTTTTAAAATAAACTCTGCTTTGCATCTTTTTGAAGTTTCCCAGAATTCGAACTCAGAACTTCCTTGGCATGCTTCAGAAAGCATGCTTCATCTTCACTTTTTCTTATGGATCCTTTTGATGAAACGAAACGCATGTTTAAAGAAGCCTTTATGTGTGCAAAAAGTCCCTTTAAAGTTTCGCGCTCATTCTCCCCAATCCAATATATAGTACTATCCTTTCCTCGTTTTGAATCTTTCCTGGATGGTGAAACGGCGCGAGAGTCGTAGACCCCTTCCGTTTTTTCCCCAGCTTTTGAATCTTTCCTTAACAATTTCACTCAATTTCACTGGCAATTATCGTTCAATCGAATTTCAAGTTTACAACTATTAAACTTTGATTCCACGCACACTTCCCTTCAAACATGCAAAAATATTATTATTATTCCAAATTGCCAACCAAATTTTGTTTGTTTTTAATTGAATTTTTAATTAAGCTTACAATTATTAAGTTTTGGCTTTTTAAAAATGCCTTTCCATTCCGGCTTTCCATTCCGGCTCTGGCTTGCCATTCCGCGTTGTCCTGATCCGATTCTGACTTGAGACTTGAGAACTGGTTAATTGAAATTCTTACTTAGGAATAAAGTTGAAACAGATTTTTCGAAAAATCAAAAAATCATAATTCCTTGAAACTTTAGGAGTTTTAGTTTTTGTGCTTAAATTAAAAACACGAAACTCATTTCTATAGGCCTTAAATTGAAACTCACATTTTTAAATGTTAGCTTTATTCGGTGTCAAGAACAAAAAGATTACTTTCACTTTTAGAAGGATTTGATTTTGGTTTCAAAAAGAAACCAAGACAAATAGCAAATTTCCTCGTTGTGCGGAGAGTTTTTGTTAAGTTTTGCGGCCAGACGCAGGGTACTGTAAGCGTACCGCGTCAAATTTTCGCAATACCGAAGAATTTTGAACCCCACACGCAAAAAGCACTGGCAGAAAAATTTCAAAGCTTTTATGCATTTATTTGAAACATCTCTTCAGGAAGCATCGATTTTCTGTTTTTCTTCTTAAATTAAAAGATTTTTGTCTTTAAACTGAGCCAGATATACGAAAAGCCATAATATTTATTATACGAGAAAAAATACGATGTAAAATGCATATTATAAAAATAAAGCAAAAAAAGCTGAAGATCACCCATTCCATCAGCTCTTTCTGGCTGTTTTTTTGAAACATCGCTTAGCTTTACTTGATGTACTTTGTGCTCTTTCAGATCTTGTAAACCCACTCCAATCCTTAGCTTTTCCCTCGTTGCTTTAAGAGAAAAATTGAAGAATTGCAGTAGGCCAGAAAGGGAGTATTTACAAGATTTGACAGTAGCAAAGTATACCTCGAAGAACAGGGAACAGTTCTAGAGTTAACAAATAGAGTTTTGAATTTGAATAGACTTGTCGGCAGGGCAAGCGGGTTTTGCATGGTTGCCCTTTCATTTCGCCAAATCTCACCTTAAATCGTTGATTCGCGTCACGTCGACATTCATGAACCATCAAAAAACAGAAAACTAGCAGAATAAAGAAAAATTTCGTAAAATTCATTGATGAATTTGATTTAAAATCTCAGAAATGTTCCTTCTTGGCTCAACACTCAACTTCTTGCGCACATGATACCTTTCATTGCACAAACACAAATTTACGGCTCAAATGCTCAAATGGAGAAAATGGTTTTGACTGGTGCTTAACAATGGTTCGAAGCAACGCCGATATTTGACCAACGCTGTATTTGGAAAGGGGACAAAGGATAATAAAAGGCAAAAGGCTTTAAAAATCATTATCCTGGATTCATCTTGTCAAGGTGGCTTAAAGAATCCAATGTTTCAACATTCAGCATTGCATGTTTCACATTCTCTCTCTTTCTTCACTTCCAGGTCTTCAGGTCACTTCCTCTCACCAAATTCCCTTCTTCTAAAAGGCGTAGGAAATCTTGAAATTGCTTTTAAAAAAAGCCGACAAAAGGCTCGAGTTTGAATGCTCGAGTTCGCATAGCTTTGAATGTATCACTCCGCATAGCTTTGAATGTATCACTCCGCATAGCTTTGAATCTATCACTCCGCATCGCTTTGAATGTACCATTTCGCATAGCTTTAAATGTACTATCCGCATGGCTATCTTAGACAACTTAGGTGCTAAATAAGAAACGATTACGGTATAAATCAGCATAAAGAGACGAATAGGTGTCTTGAGATTCAAGGAAAAAACAAAATATTCACCTCAGATTACAGCCAAATAAAGACACAAAATAAGAAACTTATCCATAGAAAATAGTAGCTAAACACACTGAAAATAAAAAATTTGGCACATATTTTGAATTTTTAAACTTTTTCTTTATTGCGAATCATTTTTCTCGGTGTTTTCGAGTCGATTTTTGAGCTAAAAGAGGAAATCCATTTTTGAAAAATTGTCATTCAAAGAGCTCTTAAACTAAATATTTTGTTATTCAAATGATTTTAAGACTGAGATTTACCGCACAAGATTTGTATTACAAGCCCCTAAGAGGTTAAAACCAATAAAAACCAGTTATTTCTTCGAGTTACAAGCTTGTTTAAACAAATCTTGAGCAAATTTTACATTCGTTATACATCTTGTTCTTGAAATTTAAATTTAAACCCCCACCTGTTCAGGTAACATTTCCCGATGCGTGAAAATGTCGGATCGAGCCAAAATGATCGGCGGCGATTTCGGAGACGAGTGGAGACGAACCTGGAAATAGAAAAACGGTAAAAGATATAAAGAATTGTTATAAAATTTGTGGTTTTACGTTATTATAATAGGCTAATACTATATCCAATCCTATGTTACAATCAAGAAACCCACCCAATACTCTGTACAAATGATGGCACCCCGGTAGTAGGCATCGTAGAGTTTACTATCCGTCCAACGAACGCGAATCTGAGAAAAGGATAAAACACTAGTTGTAGTTAAAATTTCTAATTAAAAACACTATAATCAACTCAAAAGTTTCTCTTCAGTTAGTTGAGATTGTTCTAAACCAAGATCGATTACACTTTGTCAACAAAGAACTTGTTGAAAAAACTTATTCGGTCGTGCTTCTATCATAAAAACAACCCACCCTGGCCCCACTCTGATGATATCGTCGATCACATTTTACACATTCACACGTGACAATGTCCTCAAACGGTGTATTCTTCGAGAACGATCCATCGCAAAAGTCCAACATCGCGTACTCATTCTCGAATTTCTGCATGACGGACCCTCGTTCGACTTTCACTTCGCTATCCAAGGAGACGATCACCTCTTCGCCCGAGCTAATCTCACTCGTTTCCTCATCTAAAAAAGTAAAATAGACTCAAAAAGATTCGAGTTTTATAGCAGTTCTTTAATCTTGATAAAGCAATAAAAAGCAAGGATATACTCTTCATCCTAGGGCTGTACGTTTTTGAAGGCTAAATGGCTGCATTTACGTTTAAAGTTAATTAGTATGCCAAGTTAAACAACCACTATCAAAATAGTTCTCATGTTTGTCACATACGAGCACGGCCACCAGCGGGTATTCACGTCTCTCCACAAACATTTTCCCCACACGACCACACGTTGCGTGCACGTAGACCGGCTAAAATGAAACAAAATTAAAGTTATTCGCTTAAATTTGACATTTATTGAGTCACTTTACCTCCCGTGATCCCTCGCACGCAGCACATTTGATCAATGATTCGCGGAGACGCTGAAATTTAGATGAAAATCGATTCAATCAGGTTGATCTTACTCCACAAAGCTCGCACTCGTATTCGGCAACCTCGTGCTCGGCTCCAAGCGCGTCCATGTAGTCAGCCGATAGAGTGACTCTAAAAAGATAGATTTATAATTCTATTTCAAATTCGCTATAAAGAAACCGTGATAGACATCAAAATCACAAAAGCTTGACGTACCAAAAACTAAAAACTCTTGCCGTCGCAGGATATTAAAAACTATCTACGGTATGTTTGGGCTACGTGACACTACCATGCCATGTTCTTTGTCAGAAGAGTTACCGTAATTTGTACCAAAAATCAATCAATCCACTCACACATCCTCGTTGGGGTATCCGTGCTTTGGTGGTGGTTGATAGCTTGCCATCAACCTGGTCGCCGGATCGTCGAAAGATGTCCGACGAGACAAAATAGCGCAGATCACATGCACCCACGAGCTTTCCCGGCCGGAAACACACCGCATAAAAGCACCTAAGTGAATGAAATAGCTTAACTGACATTGTATTTGCGAATACCTCCTCGTAGTTCACAAAGGTGACATGTGGTGCCGCGGATAAGCTCCGGGCTTCTCTTTGAGCATCGTTGGCACAACCAGATGTTGTTATCTAAAGAAGAAATTGATCAAAATCAATAACCGCTTAAAACTCACCACTTTCCATCAACGCGTAACAATTGCGGTGAACGGTGACCGCACAAGAGTCGCACGACAACAAAGAATCCTAAAGGAAATGATAATGACAACTTGTTTTTCTCAAAATCACCTCATTTGGGTCGGGAATTTTTGGCATTCTTAATGGATCTTTGGCAAAACACATAAACGATATCAAACGTTGAGAGCTAAAAAGGAAAATTTGAATTAATTTATAGTAATTGACAATAGACTATCTTTAAATTTGGCAGGTTTCAAAGGCTACAATGAAACGGAAACCTTTCTGGGACGCTTTTAGTGAAGACTAGCTGTTGAACTGGTTGAAAGTATTGACAAATGGCACAATGCGGCGCTTCCAAAGCTCGTTTCTCGTTCCAACACCGTTCCGCGTAGAGATTCACCGCCGAGGAGGCCCAGAGGCCATCTAAATTTTTTTCACCGCCGAGGAGGCCCTTTTTAAAACTTTTGAACTGCTGAGAAACCTACCGAGTCCTTTACTCGCGAGTTTCTTGCGGGCAGTCGATTTGTCGCTTTTCTTCGACGATTCCTTTATGGCGGCGGGCTGAATCGTTGCGGCATTTTGGTGGAGCGGCGAGGACGAGTCTGCAAATCACCAAGAATTATGGATTCACGCAACTTGTTTACAATCAATAACGGTCATTTTTGGTGGCTTTATTTTTGCACAAAGGAAAGAAAAGCATTGCACCACAACAAAAATGACGTTAATCAGGGCAAAAAATATGTGAAACAGAGACAGGATCACGCTTTTTACGCAAAAACTATTATATATATACAAAAAAAATCTCCTAATCTCGCCCCCCCCCCCACAAATCAAAGAAATGCCAACAAAAAATGACTGGGAGGTCCAAAGATGAATTTTCATCTTCCTCTCACCCTTGCGCCACTTTGTCGTTTCCGGCATGGAATCCTCGGCATCGGCGGCGATTTGTAAATGGTTTCGCTTGGTGTTTCGACCTATAAAGAAACAAAAGATTGGCAATTTCCAATTTTGCTCACCTTTAAGCACAATTCTCTTCTCGGCGTACCAATAGTTGAACCATGCGTCGAAATGCTTCGGCCGATATTTCATCATGTACGGCCGCATGTCGATTTCCACCGAATCCGGACGGCAACGACAGATGTGAGCGTTCTAGAATACCGAATGATTAAACAAACCTAGTAGAAGGTATATAATTTCTTAAATGAATTGTTACTTTGGTATCTAGAATTGTTTAAACTAAGTGTAGCACCAATTTCTACCCAAAATCGACCTTTCCGTAGTCAATCCAGCGATCCGAGGCGAAATTCGTGCTTTCCGCGCAATTGTAGCCCGAGTTGAAACCCATGTGGTAACCCTGAAAGAATTATCACATATAAGTTGAAAAATCACTTCAAATCTTAACCAATACATCGAAAGCTTAAACCCACATGTGGAAAAGTGATGATGAACTCGTTCGGTCGTTGAATCATCGTCCCGTAGGGAATGTTGTGACTCCTCAGGATCGTTGGTGAAACGATGAAATTCTTATGCCTAAGTTTAAAGCTAAATTCAAAAACAAAGGACAAGTACCTTAAAAAAGAGCGGCAATGTTGTGACTCGTCGGGAAACGTTTGTTGCATGAGACGCTCGAAACGGTTGGCAGACTCGGATGAGATCGCGTACCAATACTAAAATGATAATACTGGCATGTTTTCTTCAAGAAAGACGAAGCTCTTGCGTAATCTAGCTAATTTTGATCATTGATTCGTAAAACACTAACTAAAACTATCAAAAGCTTTCATCACCTTCGGTTCACCAAAATGCAAATAGTTGATTGAATAGAGATCCATGTCTTCGGCGTGCCTGCAAAGAGCTTGTGTATCAAGTCAAGGTTTACGTGCAAAGACAGAATAGGTCCAAAATAGATTGAAGTGTTAAAGTTTAATTCAATTCAAGCATTTAGCTCGATAAAATCTCACCACGGAAACGTCGTCTTCCACATCCCAAAATACAAGTAAACCGAGGTGACTCCTTTGATGTCCACCTGAAAGCGAAAAACATTACAATTTATGGGCAAACAGATTTTTAAGTCTTTAAGCTAAGATTAAACGTTATTTTAACGAAAAAGTTTTACTCACCCCCGAATTTTTCGTATCATCAAGAATCGTGCCCAGTTGAGCCATGTTCCACTCGTGCACGCCTTTCTCATAGATTGAACCTAAAAATTTGTACTTAAACTGTGTTTCAAATTTGAAAAATTGTACCTTCCGTATCAGCTCCGTAGATCGGTTCACCTTTGCAAATCGATCGCCAATATAAGCTAAAATTGTTCAATCATTTATTTTCACCTATTCCTCAACAAACCTTTCCAGCTCGGCTCCTTCCAAGTTTGGTTTCGGGTTCTTGTATGTTGAGCTGAGCGCAAATTTCCGAAATTCCTTTACCGAGAGTTGTTTCTTAAAAACCTAAATGTTAATTTTTTTATATTAACTTTCACTTAAAAAAGGCTATTTACTAACTTTTCTCAAAAATTCAATTACAAACTTTGTTGCTTTTGACGTAGATTCCCTGCGCGCCGTCGATCGTCTCTTTTACGGGTCTAAATCATAACACTAAGTACCGTACTTTTAAGTCTAGCTTGTAAAACTAGTATTTTTCCATAGATTTTTGATACCAAGAAGAAAACTTACTCTTTTATCACATAATTATCTACATCCGAGTAGTCGGTGCCGCGTTTTGGTCGTGGATTGAACTCTTTCGGTGGCACGATCTAAATGAAATCAATAAAAAGGTCAACTTTATGTCATGTCTAGATCTTTGTCTACTTTCAAAAGGCTAAAGCCAAATCCGGTGATATTTATTCTATTCTATTGTACTCAAGTTTTGTTCACCTTCGCAATTCCGCAACTGAAATGCGCGCCGGCTTGCTCAATTTTCTTGATGTAGCCGGGAAAATCCTTGAATTCTTGCCACGTCGGATAGAAAACCATTACCTAAAATTGATAATAATACGGAATTAGTAGATTATGCAAGTTTATCTCTAATAACATGGAAAATGATAACAAAGACTTAAACTAAAATTCTAATTACACAAAAATATTTTTACCGTCATCAAATTTGTAAAACTCACTTGCGAGGTGCCAGTCGGCTGATAGGAGTCGCCCTTGTAACTAGAAAATATAGCCTTATTGATTTTTACTTTACACGGTGCATAGAATTGCTTTACACGGTGCAGGTTTTTAAAATTATTTCAAAAGCTGCAGCTAGACAGATACATCGGTTTGGCTTTCAAAATGTCCTTGTTTTTCAAAAATTCACCTTTGTCCCCTTGTCGACGGAATTTCCATTGCTTTAATCAAATCGTCCGCCTCTTGGTCACTGAAAAATACTCCATTTATAAAACAAAAACCAAAAGCAAAACACTCGTGAAAAGTGAGAGAAAATAGTGGCTACCCGTTATTTACAGTAAATTTTACAAAAATTTAGCAAGAGAGATTCCATGAGATAAAAATACAATAGATTTAGCAAATACAAACAGAATTTCAAAATGCATTCATTGTGGAAAGGAGTAAAGTCGATTTGGTGGTGATGAGAGTGTGAAATTTCTAAAAGATAACTTTTTCTATAGTATTCTAAAATTTTTGAAACGAAAACGATTTTACCCCTTTCCCTAATTCGATAAAAACAATATACAACCATATCAAAATATCATATTTTCAAAGCACAATTGGTTCGTCGACAGCTTGTACCATATAGAAATTCAGTTTTTGGCCGTTTTTGACGTTTGATGATTTTCTGTAGATCATCGAGAAGAGGATGAGTCCAATCGGCCAAATATCCACTCCGCCCGTTCGCCACGGGATTCTCAATTCTCTTCCGGTGCTCACATCGTTCGAGAATACCTTTGATAAATGAGATTGTCGCAGCTGATGAGTTCCTGGTCAGCAAGAAACAAATGAAATGGATAAGGAAACCAACTCGAAACTTGTCGCTTTGACCTGACAAGCCGTTGAAAGAACTTTCTCAACGAACTTCCCCAATTTCTCATCCGGAACATAGACCCCGTAGCATTCGACGATTCGCTTCGCCTCAAAATCCACTCATTCACTTCGATCTCTTCTCGTTTTATCGGTGGCACTCGTTGCTCTTGATCTGCGAAGCTCGCCAATCCAAAGTCGATCAAAATAGAGCGATGCCGAATCGGATCGCTGGTTTCACATCATTATTCACGATGCCCAATTCGTGGATTCACATCATTATTCACGATGCTCAAAGCCGATATAATATTGCGTAGATGATCATATCTTGTTCGGTCCTCACATGGCGCACTCGTCGGATCTTCAGCACATTGAAGCACTACATGAAGATGAAGAAAGTCTCGCCGTTTCAAATGAGCGCGTAAACGGGCACGATGTAGGGCTTCTGACCGATCATTGACAGCGCTCCAAACTCGGCTTTCACCGCGTTCAGCCTCGTTTTCTGCGCGATTTTCTTCGCCGCAATCACCGATTTCGTGGCTTTCAGCTGACATTGTCGCACCAATCCGAAAGCGCCTAAAAGTTGAGTGATTAAAGGGTATTTTCAAAGATGCTCTAAGATAGTATCTGCAACAAAAACTCTACATATTTTTCAAAAGTAACTACATAAGTTTGAAAGTACCTTAGAAAAAAGAAAGTGTTCTTTTGTAGGGGTTATGAACGTATTTATTGTTTCTATGTTGAAAACAACGCATTAACCCTTCAAAACAGGTAAACACACCGGATTCTCAACAAAGAGCCAACTTAGACTTCGCTTGGATTTAAAATCAAAACGATTACGGCAACTTTTCCACTATCCCCTGAGATTCTCAACTATCGGCTTAGATTTAAAATAAAAAACAATTACGGTAAATTTTCCACTTCTTTTTAGGTTACATGAAGTTAACAACAATGGACAACGCACCTTTTCTGAGAAGTTTCCCGACCACAAAATTCCCCCTCACAAAGCGATCCTGCGTCGTCGTCGGCTTGTAGACGGGCCGTCCGATCGGCGCTTTTCTCGGTAGGCCATCTTGTTTGTCGACGTTGAAGGCCAGTCTGTAAACAGAAACTATAAATGCAACTTAAGCGTTTTAATACAATTTTAAAAACGAGAACATTAAGAACATTAAGTACGACAAATGACTTGAGATCTTTCACAAATTGGTTCAGTGAAAGATTTGTGTTTTGCAAATTCATTTGCATACTGGCTGGCAGCCCTTTAAAAAGCTTTCTCCTCAATTTCTAAAACAAAAATTGGTACTTTGGTGGATGGCGGGAGGTACTCATATCTCCGATTTTTCGAAGGTTTTAGGGTAATCGAGGGTCGAGGGAGCTGAGTACAAAGTGGATTTTTTGCGACACCCTGCACATTTTTTGTGAGCATTTAGTCGTAATGGAGCATAGTTGGGGGTGCACTTAGGCGTAAACCAAACGTAAAGCAAGAGTCTAGTCGGTACTTTAGTAGCAGGCCTGCTGGGGGTGGGTGCTGCAAGCTATTCGGGAAGTTCGGGATGTCTGAGCTATCTCTAAAGAGCTTACAGCATGCATTTTTTAATTTTTCGTAAATAAATAGTTTTTCTAAAGAGAATAGTTTATGTTAATTATAAGTTTCTAACTTTATTTTATCTAATAAAATGGCACTTTTTTTCCGCACCTTGCCCATTAGCGCACCTTTTTTCGCGTTTTAAAAAGCTCTAAAAGATAATATTAACCAATTTCTATTCGAAAAGTTGTTTTTCTAGGTAATTTTAGGGCGTAAAATCTTGGCATATCAGAGCTTGTGAAAACAAATGGACGGGGTTATACAAAGAGCAAAATCGACAATTTTCTGTAATTTGAGCTAGCCGTTTTGCCTTTCAAAATGGTTCCACACGCTCTGTTATGTCAAAATTTGAATTTGACACCCTCAAATCACCTAGAAAAACAACTTTTGGGATAGAAATTGGTTAATATTAGCTTTTTAGAGCTTTTTAAAACGCGAAAAAAGGTGCGCTAATGGGCAAGGTGTGCAAATGTCCGGTGCGCAAAAATTTTGTTTTGTCCCACTCCCTGAAATCAAAAAAAGTTTAATCTTAAAAAATATTTCTAGATACTAGATAATTTTGAAAGGTATAAAGATTTTTTGTAGCCTGTAGCCCCCAACCACCAAAGTACCCAAGAATTAAGATATTCAGCTAACAGCTATTAAGATATTCAGCTAACGGTTTGAAAAATTTGAGCCTAAAGTTGAGATATATTTAAAACTTTTTTAAATTTTTGTTTAGCTTTTTGGCGCCAATCTAGATTTAAAATTTTAAAGTATCGGTTAAAATCAAGCATTTAAATAGTAAAACTTAAAATATCTCTATTTTTAAACCATTCAAAACGGTTAAACACTTTGCCAACCGGCCAAAGCGAGCCTGATTGTCAGGTACCGGCAAATGAATGAAATTGCGTCTTTTTTAATAGCTTTGTTGACTCAAATACAGTCATGCACAAAAGTCTTGTAACATCTAGTTTAGCAAACTTAAAAGTGTACTAACTTTTTTGCAAAGAGGCCAATTCCCAGATAGTTTTTGGTTTTCAGTTGTCAAAAACTTCTATTTTTATATGCCAAAAACTTTAGTGAAACGATTAACAAAAATTAAGAAAAACAAATAAAAAAATGAAAAAACATAGAAATCACCAAATTTTTAATACTTCGATGGTCCACCTTTAGCTTTGTTGACTTCCTGGATCCGTTTGGCATTGAATAAACTAAATCGCGTAGAATTTGGGCCCCAGGGATGACCCGGTACAGCGAATGAAGAGCCAAATCTCTATTTTCGAGTTGAGTCGCTTTCCCTCCAGCTTTGACTTCAAACCCAAAGATGCTCAAACCTGGGATGTGGAGGAGCTGAGATAAGTTAAACACGATTTGCTTTGAACCATCCTGGAAGAGAGCTTTTCCACCATTTGCGAGAGTGATCACCCGGCTGTTTTCCTGGATTCACCTGCGGTATATCAGCTGTGAGAAAATTAGGTGTTGTGTCGTGTAGTGCTCTGCTTTGAGTATGAATACTTTCGGGTGAAGCAGCCGATCCCCGCGACCCCCCTCGTTCACTTCCCGGTGAGGAATAGCCAGAAATTGAGTTACAAGGAGAGAATGGCTCATATAATCTTAAAATATTTAATTTAGAACTGAGCTGATCTGTTGAAAAATTTAAATTTCTCTACTACTTACTTTTCTTTGCTTCTTCGGCAGCAGCTCCATTCCACGTTCCGATTGTCATTTGAAGAGAATCGGAAAAGAGCGAATTCTCTTGACGAGTCTCCGAAAGTGTAAAGGGCTAATTAAGGTTTTAATATATTACTAGTTTTTTACCTGTTCATTGAAGTATCGAGGCTGATTGTGAATGGATGATTGACCTTGAATGGGTCGTGGTGTTGTTAAAAGAGTTGACTCAATTGAAGTACCCAATCCATAACCAGATCTTGATTGAGGCTGAGGCCCAAAGAGAGAATGATTCGAATTCTGAATTAGATAAGAAATAGATTCGACCCAGCTTCTAACTTTGAAGTAGAGATAGAGAAACTAACCCGAACTGGTGGTTGTGGTTGATTGAGTGTGTTAATGTAATTGGTCCATCTAAAATGCAACATTTATTTATTATTTTAGTTTCAAGACTTGTCAAATTATTATATTTATCAGTTTCTTACGTGTTAAGGATTTCTTGCTCTGGCAAATTGGGCAAACTGACCAAATTTTGATAGATCGTTCGTTGCTCGGAACGGGTTCGCTCTTGGTTTTTCTGAAAGAAAAGCTTTAAATAAATTACAACTAAAGTTAAAAGAGCCAGCCCATTTTTTTACCAGCTCACCGTGAAACACGAATCGCATTTTGTTGTGTGTGGAGTGTTGACTCGATTAGCCCCTCAATTCAGCCGGTTCCACAAACTTTCTGGCCTCTTTTTCACGCCA